TAAACCTTGCTTAATTAACTTAATCCATGTTTAGCTAATTAATCGTAATTATCTTAAACATAATCATGATTTAGCTTAATGTTAATTAATGAGGATTAGTTTAGGGATGATCATGTTTAAGGTAATCATATTTAGATTAGCCCTAGGCAAGCTTTATTAAGTCATTAGCATGTTATTAGCAAGATAAGTGTGGCATTAGCACAATGGTGCTTAGCACACGCCAATCGTGCATTAGCACGCCCTTAGCCGCACTTAACGTGCCTAAGCCGAGCTTAAGGGCCGAGAGGTTAAGACTCTTCATAGTTCACGTGTATTACTATCATGTTGGGGATACTTGGAGGCTGGAGAAAGCCTTAGGGCATGACTAAGCAAAACTCTTGGTGAGTAAGCACACCAAGGTGCCACCTAGTGCCTTATGTGCACGGCACTTGGTGCACGGCCATTGGCCGAGCTTTCCTTCAAAAATCCATCATGTTTTTAGTCTTTATAAGTCAGCATTTATGGTGAAAATAGGGCTGATTAGCGAAGCCATATACTCAGCAAGTAATAAGCCTAACATTAGCCCTAATCACACACGCACGCGCATAGGCCCGAAGACGAGAAATTATGCCCGTTCATGGGAAATTCTCCGACCAATTGAGAAGGTAACTTCATTTTCAGTATCCTTTTATGTTAGTTAGATCATGTTCATGTCAGTTTATGCAGCTCATGTCCAGAAATTCATATAATTATCAAGTTATGCTCGGTTTAAGTCATTTGAGGTCATGACCGAGTAAGTTCATGTTTTACCCGGCAACTCCTGTGCAATTCATGTTTATTTTATAATGTTATGTCCTTATAAGTTCAGTATAAAAAGATAGGTCGAGATAAGTTGTGGTTTTGCCCATGATTTGACCTAAAGAAGCGAGCTGCGCATGTAGCGCACGCGCACGGGGCTATTTCATGCCCTATCATGTTACCTTACAATATAATCATGTTTGTTCGAGTAAGTCAGGTATAGTTGATCATTATATATTATTTTGTAATCATTCAAGCTTTAATGGTTGAGGGAAGTTGAAGTTTGGCCGAGGATTGGCCTTAAGTCGATGGTAGCGCCCGTAGCGCACACCACGGCACTTTATCGAGCAAGGTGCATGATTTGTGAGTAAGTTCTGTACCTATGATCAAGTTAGGTCATGTCATGTTGATTCATGTTGAAGTTGCCGGAGAAAGTCGCCAAACGGCCGGCAAGGGCCGGTCGTGGCCACGCTGCCGCACACAGCGGCAGCAGCGGCCTGGCAGCATGATGAGG